TCACAAAGCAAATAACACATCCCACAGATCACCGTATCTTTTTTCTTTTTTTCTTTTTTTCTTTTTTCTTCTTTTTTTCTTTTTTTCTCTTTTTCTTTTCTTCTTTTTTTCTTTACCTGTCCCCACCTCGGCAGATAGGACAGCTACGGTGAGGATGATGTGGATGTTCACAAGGATGCCCAAGGAGAGCTGCATCAGCACAGCATTCTGCAGGACGGCTAGCACGAACCATCCCATCAAAACAGTCCTGACAGAGGACRTGTTGTCCACATGTCAAAAACACRGCAGGACGTTCATCACAGTGCSGCATCATACAGTTCTGATAGCGTCCTTGGGCACAATAGGGACAACGTATATCTGGGTGATAGGGATGTGTACAATGAGGAAATGTTGGACACCCTTCAGGACAGACGGCGGCAGTCRCAATAGATTGATAATGGCTATGGCATAGATGATGCATTCCACAGCCAAGGCGCACCGCGTATCTGTCCCGACAGGTGTCACACGAGAGTCGGTCAATAATCCAGMATAAAGTATGATTCGACAACGCTCGCAAAAATTCATTCACGTCGAAAATGACCTGACTCATCGTCCCACCATCCCACAGTTCCCACTGGGCAGCTGCACGAACGAGTGCCATATAATGCCCGGGTCTGTGTAAAATACAGGCAAAAATATGAGGATGGTTATTGAGGTCGTCGCCTGGCGTCGCATGATGCATAAGAAGGTGGCGACCGTGAAACGCTAACTGTAAGACATTTACAGTAAAGCCTCCTGAGGTAGTATAGTTACTACTTTCTGCAGGTGGACTATTATGGTCAAACAACAGCTGATTTTCAACAGCGTCAAGCTGATACGCAATCGTAAGAAATTGGGATGCACTATAACGTTGACGCTGATAAGCTTGTAGGCAGACATTTGTGGCTGTCAAACCACAAGAATTTGGTAGGTCTGCCCGCAGATCCGAATCGGTCACCACTGGAAAGCCAGATGTGWTCTGGCGGGGTCGGCGCRTAAAAGACGAACGCCGCCGACGTGGCAGAGMAGGTTGTCGGTAAGACAAGGATCCCCGCAGATTAGCATCAACACGACGTCGAGAGGAAGGGGGACTGGGAGGAGGAGAGAATGAACGAGCCTGCCGATCTTTTTCTTTTTTTTTGGATAACAGCTGTACCAAAAATATATCGTCACATAAATATGAGAGCGCAAAAGCGAAAAAAAGTAAAAAATGAATTCGTTTTTTTATATCTTCTTCCTTACAACTCCCCCACCCCCGTGTGTCATATCGACCCACTTGCACACAGCCAAAAGGCAAAGAGGCAAAGAAAAGAGGGGAAGGGAATAGCCAAATAAAACAGAACAGGGGGCAACAAAACAGTCTTGTCTGCAAAAAAAAAAAAAAAAAAAAAAAAAAACGCATACCTGACAACCAAAAAAAAAAAAAAACAATCCCGGATGACGATTCCCATATACAAGCATATATATAGAATTGAGAGAACGGATGTATCGAGCACGACAAATGTGTACAGGTTCGTTCCTCATGTTCATCGCGTCTGTGAAGTTCTGTCCATGCTCCAAGAAGTTTTGTCGTATCTGGCCACAGAATCGACACTTCTTTTTTTCTTTCTCTTTTTTCTTTTTGAAAGGGTGATGGCACCTTGAGATATCATCTTTGCGCTGACCGACCCCAGATAAAATTTTCAGAGTGATTTTACCTGGGGACGATCAGCGCAAAGATGACCGAATAGAACGCCCGGTCATTATAGCTGTGTATTTGGCACAACTTTCGGTCCAGATGCAGCGATAATGACCGGGCGTTCTATTCGAGTGAAGACGGTAGCTCATCTGGTTCCATCGGAATTCGAACTCAGGTCTGTTTTTCAACAGGTGACAGGTGTACCAGCAGAGCTACCTTCTTCCCCCGAATACAACGTACAGTCATTATAGCTCTGTATCTAGACTGAAAGATACCCCAAATACATCAATAATGACCGTGCGTTGTATTCGGGGTAAGAAGGTAGGACTGTTTTTGTCGTATCTGGCGGGCGTCGAATTTGGCATTTTTGTCGTCTTCCTGGGCTTCTAGAGAGTCGCCTCTCCCGCCTTTTATTAGACTGTGCGCGTTCCCGCCTTTTATTACGGTATGGGACGGAAAAAGGCGGGAAGGCGTTCCCGATGGAAAGAAAACGAATGGGAAAAAAAGGAAGAAGAAAAAAAAAAAAAACGAGTTGGTTTCCCGCCTCCTTAGGAGCATTTGGCAAAGCACCTGCCTCCTTTCTCTCCCTCCATCCTCTCTATTCTCTCTAATAGCCTTTTTTTTTTTTTCCATTTTTATTCCTTCCCGTTCATCCTCCTCCTCCTGTCTAATAACCCAGGAACGAAA